TCCCCGACTGCGGCCCACCAGTCCGTCGGGGATTTCTCGTCGACCACCCGCCCGTAGGCCTCCTGCAGCGCTGGCCCGTTCCGGCTCAGGTTCGCCGCCATGGTCCGCCCAGCGGTCCCTGAGTTGCAGCTGCCTCAGATTTAGGGCCGGCCTCCCGTGACGGCCGGAAGCCCCGCCCCAGAACCGGAAGCCTCGCCTCTGACGATCCGAAAGCCACGCCCCTGTAACCGGAAGCGGAAGTAGAGGCGGGCTGTTAGTGGGTTTTGAATCCAGGCTCCTCTGGCCATGCTCACCGAGGCGCTCTTCGTTCTAATTGTCACAGAGCACTTCTTTGAGAGATCTCAGCTACACGAGTCTCCCTCCGGACTGGATCTTCCGAGCTGGTGTTGTGGACCCTCATCAGAAGTCTGATTTGTGAATAATCCATGCATACATTAATAAATACATGAATAAATGAATGCTAAGTGACAGTCAAACCGATACAAACTTAACGAAGCATTTTTGTGTTCCTTGCTTTCATTTTTTGCCCCCTGAGCAGTTCGGTTGAGGCCAAGCAGTGGAGGACAGAAGGCAGCACAAGCCCTGCACCTCCACATGGGGATGGCTGCCCCCCCCCAGTAAGGAAGGGGCCCATGGTGCCTTAATCTGCTCCCTTATAGGGAGCGCCAGTTCTTTCTGTCCACAAATGTGGCAGCACTTCTATCTTCCTGCCTACTTGAAGGGAAAGGGGCCAAGATGGAAGGCAGCTCACCACTTCTTGGCTATTGCAAAACAACTCCTCCATCTCCTTGGCCTCTAGTGCCCATCATGGGGTCCCAGGACCTCCAGGAAGTCTGGGAGCACCTTTCAACATTTCAGTCAACCAGTGGAAACCCTACCCTTGATATAGGACATCCACAGGAACTTGTTTCAATGGTAATGGATAGTAAGACAACGAATTTATAGACACAAACTTTAAGAGGAAGAGAGAATAGGGAAAGGGCTTCAGATTTTGGAGAATAACTGAAGAGGATACAGATCTGAGGGAGATCAGACTGGCTCATTAACAAAAGAATGGGTCAAGCTTTCACGGCTTCACTAGGCTAGGCTAAAAGCTGGTAACTTTCCATTGGGTCAGGAGTATATTTTTTCTTTTTCTTCATTTTAGAGAATTCCTTCATAGTGTGAAATATGTATTTGCAGCTATATTTATTTTAATGATTTAAAAAGGGGGAGGGTGCATTCCATACATTATTAGCAAGGGCAAACAGGGAGAAAGAGATGTCTGCACCTTCAGTGCATGACACATCATAGATTAAGGTTTAAGAATCCATGTCTTCTGCTCCATGAGGGTATGTGTCCTATTTTACTCCTACCTGAAATCAGGTTGTTTGGGCCAAAGGAGAAGGTCCCTATGTTCTGGAATTAGATCAGCTCAGTGTGGTGACTAGACTCATCCAGGCTGAGGGAAAAGCAGGAAAAACCTGGCTCCATGGAGAGAAGACCAAAGGTGTCTCTGGTGGCGGCAAATGGGGTTTCACATAGCTTCCTCCTGCTCTAGTATGTGAAGACCTGATTTGATCAATAGTATGATAATGCCACTTAACATAATTACAAATTATAATGGCCAGGTAGCAGTGACAATCTTCCTTGCAGAACCAGTCTCTGGAGACTCAAATAGACTGAGCTGGGGGCAGCAGGGTGAGGCTGGGGGCAGGCAGGCTCCATGATGCAGCTCTGTTGTTGGCCACAAACATGCAGCCTGGCTGAGCTGCTGCCTTTCACCTGGGTGCCATCACGCACACCTGTCTAGAGATTGGGGCCTTGGGTGAAGCAGGAAGGAGACATATATTTAAAGGAAAAGTGAGGAAGCCACTGGCTGGCCTGATAGGTTTTATATTCTTGGTAGCTTTGTTATTTTTGTTTTGAATAAAATCTGTGAACAGAGCAAAACCAGGTTATAGGGACCAGAAAACTGACCTCATGGAGTGAACAGCCAGTCCTTCCTCCTCTCATATGTAGACAGTAGGTGAAGGAGCAGAACTCTGAAAGAAATGCTGCTTGGGATGGACTATTCCTCCTGCCTTCATGGCATTAGGCTGCTGTCTAGGGGTGCCGGCAGTCACATCCCCCACTTTCTAGAGCATCATCATTCATGGCTAGATGCAGTACTGGTCCAGCCCTTATCCAGCACTGCAAGGGGGGAAGTATGTGCCAGTCAGAGCCAGCCGTGAGAAGGGAGGAGAGATAAGCGACTCCGTGCTGATCTCAAGACTCCGTCTCATCCCTTTCAGTACCATGGACAGACCCCAGACAGGAATTCTGCAGATCAGGCCTACACGCACCTCTGACACTGAGGAGGCTTTCTCCTCAATTTCAGGCAGAAATCTGGCCATTCTTGAGCAACTACAGTGAGGCAGTGTGGAATTATATGGTGCTGATAGACTGCTCAGCTATGTGGTAACAGGCCTGGTGGACAACATTCTGGCATTTTAATCCTTTGCCATGAAATGTTTACCTTTGTACTGGAGCTCCTGGGCCTTCCTGGAGCCTGACAGAGGATCCAAACCTCAGCTCCATTGAACAAACTCAGAAGCTTCTGAGGACGTTAATATTTGATTCAACATAGATCAACTGTTTAAGATCACCCACCTTCCTGATTGTTCAGATTCAGAGGGAAAAAAATTACATTATTGCCAGTTGGATTGTGTGTGTGTGTGTGTGTGTGTGAGTGTGTGTGTATGAGAGAGAGAGAGATGGGGCTTCACTCTGTAATTCAGGATGGCCTTGAACTCATGGGTATCCTCCTGCCTCAGCCTCCAGAGTGCTGGGACTACAGGTATGCACCACCACGTCTAGGTGTTGAATTTTTAGAACTGCTGTCCACTTGCTGACCTGGGACATGCCTTGGAAGCATGGTGTCTGCAGATGTGGGTTACAAGGGAGCCACCAACACCAAGGTTCATCCTAGAAAGTGTAAGACTTGAATAAGCTAAAGTGACTCCATGCTAATAGGCCAGACTGTGCTTCTTCATATGCTAATTGCTACCTTGGTTAACAGCCCGCCCAGGGGCAAATGGTTTGACAAAAGGTGACTGTAGAACATTTCCTGCATAAGATAAGCAATGTGTTTGCAGTCTTGTTCTGTGAATTCCCTGACTCTTTGTTTAGAAAAACCTTATAAAAAGTACCTCTGCGCCTGAGCAGTTGCCTCTCTGAGCTACCTGGCTCTGGGAGTGCTGTCTGGCCAGACTAATAAAGGTTTCTTTACTATCTAGCCTGGTGTGTTCCTTCCTGGGTTTCTCGTTTCTCCGTCGAGCTCCTGGAGCCTCGCTGGGTGTTAGGGCCCAGCATGGTGGAGGCCTTTTTGGCTGTTCACGCTCCGTGGAGTGAAAGTGAGGCTTTAAGTCTTACAGAAAGATTCTACCTAAGGAGCTTGTTCTTTGGGGTGACTCAAGTCCTGGAAAGCAAGACAAGAGGGTGACTTCCCCAGGGGAGAAAAAAGGGCTTTGCTGTAGGACATGCCAGTCTGAGGGGTCTGGCAAGTACAAGGCCTACTTTAGGCTTGCAATGAGTGAAAATTTATACTAGAGAGTCCAAATACTAGCTATCAGGCCTGATTTTACTTTTTTCACTATGTATCTCCAGCAGAAAGGACAGGCTTGGGGGAATTTTGACTGACTTCAGAAAAATCCTTTTTTTTTTTTGGTACTGGGGATCGAACTCAGGTCCTTGTGCTTTCGAGTCAGGTGGCAGAACTGAGCTAAATCCCCGGACCTAGAAAATCCATTTTTTTGAAGTTATAAGATATATACCTTAGAACAACAGCAATCTGACCAGTCTGGGCCGATTGGTGTGTGTCAGGGCTCCCTTCCCACTGTGTGAGTCATTCTCTGCAGAGTGCTGTTAGCTGAGCTGAGGTGCGTGATCTCACTTACCAAAGCAGAGCCTGGCTGACAACCCTTGGGAGGACACTTCAGCAAGGGCCCCTTCCTATGTACTACGGGTGATGGGGGGGG